CAAATTATATCATGCACCGCGCATCAAAACGACGTCGTTTTGTTAAATGAAAAGAAATTGCATTAGTTTCCGTCATTCGCAACCTTCCGCAAAAAGTAACTCTGTTATTCAATTTCATTTTGTATACACTGCAGTTTCAGTTCAACACAACTACAGTTTCATTCGATATTTATAGACTCAAATATGTGAAAATGTTATTTAATTTTATTTTATATACACTATAATTTTATTAAAACACAACTACATGATCATTTTGATATAATTACAGCTTCATTGTACAATATACACTCAAATATGTGAAATCTTATTCAGTTTTTATTTTATACACACTGCAGTTTCATTTCACCACATCTACAGTATCATTTTGATATAACTGCAGTTTCATTTGATAAATGATAATATAAAATAATATGTGAGACAATATCGATTTAGATATATTGTAGTGTCAGTTAGTATTTAATACACCAAACATACAGACTCTGTTAGGGGTAACGACGGATCGTTTCTTTACTTAAAAGAAACGGCACCGATTTTTATCGCGGTGCAGGTCGATATAACGACTGCACGGTTTCATAGTATGGTTTCGGTTTAATGGATAGTATGTAATTTTACAGTGAACATCACTTTTCACTAAGCCCAACAAAATAGTTGTTCATGGCCCAAGACCTAATCCAATAATATCCCATTTGTATCAGACTGCTCTCGCTGGCAAATTATGCTGTGCATCTGTATGTACCATGCATGGTGCATACGGATGCAAAAACGATGTCATTTTATTACAAATGTGCATTTTACTTTAAAAAATTCAGTTTTGATTTTCAACAATAATATTATATTGTGCATTATTTGAACTATATATCCATAATCTATGAACTAAAATTCCAAAATCTATGAACTAAAATTCCAGAATGAATGAACTAAAAATCAATATTGAAAGAACTAAATATCCGTAATGAATAAACTAAATATCCAGCATTAATGAAAAAAAATCAGTTTCAATTCACGTCTAAATATTCATAATCAATGAACTAAAATTCCAGAATCTATGAACTAAAATTCCAGAATGAATGAACAACATAATGATGTTGAGGAGAATCGAAACTGATTTTTTTTTTAAGTGGGATGCGCGTTTTTAATAAAACGATGTCGTTTTTGCATCCGTATGCACCATGCATAGTGCATATGGATGCACAACATAACGATCCGCTCTCGCTCGTAGTTATTTAAAGGAATTTATTATTCTATTTTTTTAATAATAACATTTTATCTATGATGTTTGACTTTATAATTTTTTATAACCCAATAACAATTTATTTTTATAAAAAATTTTACATTTTGTCTTTTAAATGTCCTACATTTAATTTTTTTTTTTTTGAATGTTACTGGCCCAATTACATTATAGTATCTGTTCATATACTTTCTCAACCTACTAAAACACAAAGAACCAATAATGCGCTTCCACTGAGGCTTGAACTCGTAACCTTCCAAATAAAAGTCCAACCCGAGTACCATTAGACCACATAGTCTTAATGTCCTACATTTAATCTAAAATGTCTGAAATATTTTATTTTGTGATAATTTTACCAAATTTCGTCATATTACTTGTGAGGATAATTTCAAACATTCTAGAATAAGAATTGAGACTCTAGAGTGAAAAAAAAATAAAAATAAAAATAAAAGAAGCCGAACACCATAACTAGAGGAATAATGCCCTATTGACAACAAATTTAACAAAAAAGTTTCACAAGATACTAATTGCAATTAACCTATCGGGGATGGTTCACGTGTAAAACTTCTCCCAAATGAAAAATTGGGTGAAATTTAAGCCGTTGAACATTTTGTCTTTTAAATTTAGACACCTAAAGCTATAAAATCAAGTAATTTTATTTAATTTGACTAATTAAGAGGGTTTTGAGAGGATTTATTCGAATACATATTTGCTCCATCCAATTTCATAACAATAAATATTCGATTTCATTAATCTTTAATTTTTCAATATATTTTTATTTATAGGAGAGTCGGTAGTTGTTGGGTGAAATAATCTACCTTGTGACCTTAAGTTGCTATTAGTTAATCGGCTCAAATCAATAAGACTAATAATTTTTACTCATGTGAAATCAAACTTGAAATTTTATAGTTAGTTACTAAGGTTGTGCTTGGAAAACAGGAAAATGACTTCTGAAAATGAGTCATTTTCTAAAAAATGTTTTCCTTGTTTGGTTGTATTTCTAGAAAATGAGCATATTATTTTTAATTTTAATTATTTAAAATATACAATGGTGATAGTGGTGATTATGATGGCGACTGGTGATTGCCTGCTCCATTGCTGCAAGATGGGGAAGTCATTTAATTTTACAAAAAATTCTCTCTATTTTTCATTGACCAGACCCTTACTTTTCATTAATTGCCATTTTTTCTTTTAACCAAATATTGAAAATTTAAAAAGTAATTTACAAAAATCATTTTTCAAATTTACAAATGCAACTTAAATCAATTATACATCAAATTCAACCATCTCGATTAAGTTGCCGCATTTATTCATTCAATATGCTAATAATGAGTATTAATGTATGGCTTCCCCAAATAAAGTAACATAGAAGAATGCTGAATTCGAAAAGAATAATTATTCATAAAATCCCTTATTAATTTGTTCAATTCAATTACCCTAATCACAAACAAATTACCACAATTGTCTACCTATTTTCAATTCAATCCTTCGTTTTTCACCAACATTACAAATGAACAACCAAAATCCCAAATCCCTAGAGTCTTGTATTTCCAATTCGGCCCTTCATTTCTCACTAAAATTACAAATGAACCCTAAGCCATCGACACGTAGACACGGGATCACTGTCTATATCCGGTTCCCGGTCGAGTAACGCAAGCAAAACACTTCCCGGTTACTCACCATTAAGTACGCATAAATGCATCACAAAGTGTTCGGAAATGCACCATTAGGTATGGTGATGTGTTGTGCATCGATGCATTTCACTGTGATGCATTTTCGAACATTATGTGGTGCATTTATGCATACATGATGGTGAATTCACAGCGATAGCATGAGAAACACTGTCTGCATTTGAACCAATATATATATATATATATATATATATATATATATAATTTTTTCCTTTCATTTTTATTACAAAATCAAGTAATTTTATTTAGTTTGGACTAATTAAGAGGTTGTTGAGAGGATTTATTCGAATACATATTTGCTCCATCCAATTTCATAACAATAAATATTTGATTTCATTAATTTTTCACTTATAGGAGAGTCGGTAGTTGTTGGGTGAAATAATCTGCCTTGTGACCCTAGGTTGCTATTAATTAATCGGTTCAAATCAGTAAGACTAATAATTTGCACACATGTGAAATCAAACTTGAAATATTGTAGTTACTAAGGGTGTGTTTGGAAAACAGGAAAATAACTTTTGCAAAATATATATTTTTTATTTTTTGAAAAATGAGTCATTTTTTTAAAATATATTTTTCTTTCCCGTGTTTTGTTGCATTCTAGAAAATTGTCTTGGTGTGTTTGGTTCATTTTATGGAAAATGTGCACATTATTTTTAATTTTAATTATTTAAATATACAATGATGGTGGTGGTGACGGTGACGAGTGGATGGTGGTGGTGGTAGTGGTAGTGGTGGCGGCAACGACGAGTGATTGGCTGCTCCACTGTTGGTATGCTGCAAACGGGAGGGAAAATCATTTTTCAGAAAATCCCCTATATTTTTCATTGACTACACCCCCTATTTTTCATTGATTTCTATTTTTTTACTATTTAGCCAAACACGGAAAATCAAAAAATAATTTTCAAAAATCATTTTTTGAATTTATAAGCATACCTCGAATCAAAGGAAAATTGTAATTTATTCCCCTCCATAATATGTCAATTATCAATATCACCCCTGAATTATTAGTGGTGTGAATGTTGCCCCTCAATTTTCAAAATGATACATATAGTGTCCTCCCGTAATGTAAATGTTGCCCATCAATTTTCAAAACGGTAAATATATTACCCCTCTCGTAAGGTACGGGAGGGACAATATATGTACCATTTTAAAAATTGAAGGACAACATCTATACTACTAATAATTAAACACTGATAATTGATATTATTGAGGGGCATAAATTACAATTTTCCCCTCAAATCAATTATACATCCAATTCAACCAACTCGATTGCGTTGCGGCATTTATTCATTCAATATGCTAATAATGAGTATTAATGCATGGCTTCCCGAAATAAAGTACCATAGAATAATGTTGAATTCGAAAAGAGTAATTATTCATATAATCCCTTATTAATTTGTTCAATTCAATTACCCTAATCACAAACAAATTACCACAATTGTCTACTTTTTTTAAATTCAGTCCTTCGTTTTTCACCAACATTACAAATTTACAACCAAAATCCCAAATCTCCAGAGTCATCTATTTCCAATTCAGCCCTTCATTTCTCACTAACATTACAAATACTGATTTCCAAAAATTATTTTTCGAATTTATAAACGTACCTTAAATCAATTATACATCCAATTCAACCAACTCGATTACGTTGCCGCATTTATTCATTCAATATGCTAATAATGAGTATTAATGTATGCCTTCCCCAAATAAAGTATCATAGAAAAATGTTGGAATTCGAAAAGAATAATTATTCATAAAATCCCTTAATTTCTTCAATCCAATTACCCTAATCACAAACAAATTTCCACAATTATCTACTTTTTTTCAATTCAGTCCTTGGTTTTCACCAACATTACAAATTTACAACCAAAATCCCAAATCCCCAGAGTCGTCTATTTCCAATTCGGCCCTTCATTTCTCACTAACATTACAAATGAACCCCAAGCCACCGACACGTAGACACGGGCTCACTGTCTATATCCGGTTCCCGGTTAAGTAACGTAAGCAAAAGACTTCCACCTCCTTCCTCTCTTCCTCGGCAGTGCTGTCTATAGCGATTTCCCCTCACATAGATACATACAGCTAAGGCGATACATACATGTATACATACAATCTCTCTCTCTCTCCTCTCTCTCTCCTTTCTCTTTCTGTCTGCTCCACACAGAAGAGCTCACCATACATATACGTGAAAGCAAATTAATAAAAAAAAATTGAATAAAACGAAAATTCTTTACGTACAGATACTGTTTTCGAAGTTCGAAGCTCTGTGTGTGTTCCTTCGCTCCAGAATTCGAAGCTTCTCGGTGCATTGGAAGATCTCTCTCGGTAAATTTCTCACCGCTGTTTGCACCATTTTTAGCGGCTTGCTTGAGATTGGAGTTGGCGTGATTTTTTAGTAAAATTTTCGATTTTAATGATCTGAGTAGAGATTATTGTTAGTGTTGATTACGTGTTTGTGCGGTGTGTTAGATCTCTGTTGCTAATTTTGGATGAATGAGTGAGTGTGTGATTTTTTAAAATTTTTTTTGCTGGATTTCTTTGCTCTCAGGATTTTGATTATGCTGTTAATTCGAGTGTTTTTATTAGAGTGAAATAAAAGCATGATTTTGTGAGGAGTAACGGAGTTAATTAACGGAGAAGGATGAAGAGGTCTGGAGATGAACTGTACATGAGCCCTGTTAAACGCCCTACTAACTCCTCTCGTGCTGAACTGTAAGTCTTATCCCTCCCTTCTTCCCTCCGCTCTTTATGTGTACTCAGTGTTAAAGTTAATTTGTTAAAGAGAAAATTTTGAATTTTTTTGCTGAACTTTGAGTTTATCATGGCTAAATATTTAGAAATAATTTTCTTTTACCATTGATATCAGTTTTTTTTTTTTTTTTTTTTTTTCCCCTGAAAGTTGTCTTTTTTTTTTTTTTTTTTTTTTTTTTTTGGTGGACCATCAAATTGTTTTACTAAGGGAGATCTTGTATAATTCATTTGCCAGCACATAAAAGTACTTTACTCTATGAAAGTTGAAACCTTTGAATATTTTTACTGTTTTTTTTTTTTTAATCTGTTATATTTGTAGAGCCTTACTGTTCTGATATTTTTGAAAGTCAGTATTTCATCTTCTTTAGAGTAGCACTAGTTGAGTTTTTTCTGATATTTTTGCCAACATAGATTTTTTGTGGTTATCTCATTTTTCCCAAGTTGAGCTAATGTATAGGTATTGATCTTATTTAATAAGTGATGCTTCTTATGACTTATATGTAATTTAATTATTTAGAATGTGTTCATGTTTTTTTTAAAAAAAATTTTTTAATTTGTTTTGCTTTATGCCTTGAAGGCCTGTGCAACAGCAGATGATGAGTGGAAACGGCATGCAGAAGCTAACAACAAGTGATGCCCTTGCATATCTCAAGAATGTGAAGGACATCTTTCGAGACAAAAGAGACAAATATGATGAGTTTCTTGAAGTTATGAAAGATTTCAAGGCTCAAAGGTTTATTCTTTCTCATGTTTTCTACTTCTTTTTTGTTCTCTTATTTCTGTTTCCTCTACCCAGTGAAACTACATTGTTGATTCATCTTCTTGTAATGTTTGTCAATGTTAACAGAGTTGACACATCTGGTGTCATAGCAAGGGTGAAGGATCTGTTTAAAGGGCATCAAAACCTAATTTTGGGATTTAATACCTTTTTGCCAAAGGGATATGAGATCACCCTTCAATCTGATGATGAACTACAACCACCTCCAATCAAAAAACCTGTTGAATTTGAAGAAGCAATATGTTTTGTAAACAAGATAAAGGTGAGGATGTACTCTACTTAAATTTTTTCTATGTATTTTAGCTGTTGGGATTTTCAGTTGATGGATTTTTTTTCCTTCACAGACTAGATTTCAAGGTGATGATTCTGTATATAAATGTTTCCTTGACATTCTGAATATGTATAGAAAGGAAAACAAATCAATCTCAGAGGTTTACCAAGAGGTACATTATTTCCATTTGCTTATTGTCACACACACACATACATGTATGTATATGCATATATATATATATATATATATATATATATATATATATATATATATATATATATATATATATATATATATATATATATATATATATATGTCTGTATATATATTTGTATGTATATACTAATCCATTTCAATATGTTGATTAAATGCTCAATTGCTCTGATACTTCTGTTTATTAATATTATTATTAATTTAATATTGATTGATATTATTTTTTCTTCCTTTTTTTTTTTTTTTTTTATTTTAATTATAATTTGTTTTTAAAATTGTGATAGGTTTCTTCTCTTCTTCATGAACACACTGACTTGCTTGTGGAGTTCGCCAATTTTTTACCGGATACATCAGCAACAGCTTCAGTCAATAGAACTCATATCTTGCGTCGTGATGATAAAATAGCTCCTATGATCACGGGAAGGCCTGCTGAAAAGGTATATTCTTACTGATGATTTATTACATTTGAACTTTTTTTGTGGGCAATGATTTTATTTTAGTTTACTGGTTCCAGAGGGCCAATGCTTTGCATGCAGACCATGGCCATGGTCTGGATCGGTCTGACCCAGAACAGTGCAGACGGGAAAGAAGAGAAAGGGATTTTGATGAAAAGGAGTTGGACAAGAAGTCTGCCTTTAGAGAAGATTCCGCTGCTGGTCATTTTAACCAAGGTGGGGAAGGTTCGACGTTGGCGTTGCCTGATTCAAACTTTTATTGAATTAAGAATTAAATGATCTTTGAGAAGTGCTTTGATCATTTACTTAGGCCTTTATAACCAATTAACAATATGTCATACATTATGTAAATGTATATAACTTTATTTGTATAAATTTCCAGGTCCTATCTATTTTATTGATATATCTTCTCTATACTAGTTAAACACTATTTAGAACATCTGTTGATTTTACCACCACTTTGTCTACCACAATGACTATACTAATTTGGCTTTTTGTGTGGGCAGGTGTGCTCGATCAAGATTTAATGTTCTTTGATAATATTAAGGAAAGATTGCAGAACTCTGATGATTACCAGCAACTTTTGAAGTGTCTTCACACATATTCTGGAGAAACAATCACAAAAGAACAGTTGGTATCCCTGGTATTATCCTTATTGCTTTTCAGTGTTTTGCTAGTTACTCAATCATGAGATCTCAATCTAGCTCTTGTTCATATTATTGTTATCTTCATATGGGTAAGAATATAAGATTGTATTAAGCTTTTATTTAAAAACCCATCCATGTTAGCAGTTGAAAAATACAGCAGAATATACTGCCAACACTAGGTCCAAAATACTTGAATGGTTCTTAGGATAGTAATTTCCAAAATTCCATTTTGGTTAAATTTGTTGTCCTATGTAGTTAAATGGTAGTTGTTACTTGTGAATTTCCAACTTTGTGATGTTCTTTTTAGGATGATTGCATATTCTCATTGCCTCATTGGGGAAAGCGATATGGTTTATGGACGGGTTCTGATTGTTTCAGGTCAGTGCCTTGCTTGGAGGACATCCAGACCTTATGGGAGGTTTCAATGAATTTATAACCCGTTGTGATAATATAGGTGGTAATAGTAATCTTAATTGTATTATTTATCCTCAAAGGCTGTTCACTATCCTTTTGAGTTTTTTTCCTGCACACTATACTAAACTGTTTTGGTGCATTCATGCAGATGGTTACCTTACTGCTACTCTGAATAAAAGTATGTAAGCTTGTTCTTTTCACATAGTTTTTAGGATTCTAATTTCCTCTCCAGCATTGTGATTGCTATTCTGACCTTAGTATAGATAGCAGTCACATATAAGAAATGAATATGTTGTTTAACCAATTTTTGCTGCTTGGTATTGCACTATTTTGTAGATTGGATCTAAATATTAATTTAAATTCCCAGGATCCCTATGGAATGATGGGAAAGTTCCCAGATTGGTGAAGTCAGAAGACAGGGATAGAGACCGGGATTGTGAGTGTGAAGAGAGAAATCAAGATCGTGATACCAGAGAAAGGGATAGACTTAAAGAATTACATGGGCAGAAGATGTTTTCAAGCAAGGATAAGTATATTGCAAAACCTATACATGAACTCGACCTCTCTAACTGTGAACGCTGCACTCCCAGTTATCGACTTCTCCCAAAGAATGTAAGCACCTGTCTTTTAAAGATTTTGATAGTCCAAGGTACCTATTTTATGAAGCCTTTATGTTTGCTTTGGTTTTTAATTTGTTCTTTTCTTAATTCAGTATCCAAATCCAATAGCAAGCCAGAGAACAGAGATAGGAAAAGAGGTATTGAATGATCGTTGGGTATCTGTAACTTCTGGGAGTGAAGATTACTCTTTCAAACATATGCGGAAAAACCAATACGAAGAGAGCTTGTTTCGATGTGAAGATGACAGGTTGGATATTCCTTGATCATGATGGTCATGCAACATTAGTGAGTTTGTCACCTAATATGTAATAAAATGAAGTGCGACCTTTTCTTTGACCTTTGTTTTTCCAGATAAACTTCTATCATGTGAAAGGATGAATGAATGCTATATTTTTTTATGTCATTTTTAAGGACTTCAAAAAATGCTGACAAATTAATATTACGCCAGTAATGATTAATCAGATGGAGGAATCTGTATCATTATCCTCATATATAAGATGAATTGTTCCTTCTTTTCCATGTGTTTTATGACTTATGAGTGTGCATGTTTCTATTTGAAAGTTTGATTCAATTGGACTCTTTGACGTATGATTAAGGATAGAAAAGAGCACCCAAACTGATGATTGATTGACCTAAAGTTACTTTGAGTATATCAAATTACCACCAACTCTGTGTGTATGATATTTAACTTGCTTTGATTTTTGGATGATGTGATAAAAAGTTTTTACTTTTGTGATGCCAGGTTTGAGCTGGATATGCTTTTGGAATCCGTGAATGTTACTACGAGACGTGTTGAAGAATTGCTTGACAGGATCAATGATAATACAATAAATAGCGACAGTCCCGTTCGAGTTGAAGACTATCTCACCGGTAGCAAGCTGACATGTGGATAATTATTCAATTTATATGATGTATTCTATGACATTTAATACTCGTGTCATTTTTGTGTAGCTCTAAACCTAAGATGTATTGAACGCCTGTACGGTGATCATGGGCTTGATGTTATGGATGTGTTGAGGAAGAATGCACCTCTTGCTCTGCCAGTAATTCTAACACGATTGAAACAGAAACAAGAGGAGTGGGCAAGGTGTCGTTATGACTTTAATAAAGTCTGGGCCGAAATTTACGTTAAAAACTATCATAAATCGCTGGATCATCGTAGCTTTTATTTCAAGCAGCAGGACACAAAGAGCTTGAGTACTAAAGGTAATGCAGAACAATTTTTCCCTATCACCGGCATAGGACATAATGATGTACAATTTCACAATGCTCCCTCTAGTTCACCTTGAAGTTTTTTCGAAGGTGTAGTATCTAATAGATACACGTGACATCAGTGAACGTTGAGTACTTGAACATCATAGTTGCTATTTCCGGATTGCATTTGACTTATTTTTAATGTATTGCGGGTTTGAATTGTTTTTATGATTCATTTTGAATACTTAAATTGGAAGATCTTTCAGTAATTTGGGAATTTCCTATTTTGTTTAGGATATTAATACGTTTTATTAGTAGCTATTTTTAGGTTCGGAATCTAGAAATTAGTTGAAGAACTTGAAGTAATAACTCCTTAGTTTAATAGTGAGTTACTTGGTGATGGTTGGGCTGTCTAACATGTCTCTTATTTCTCTTTAGTCTTTACTTCTGCTTTATTGTCATCTTTCCTTTTTTATTTTCTCTTGTAAACTAGTTTAGGACTTAAACTTTTTCATTTTCACCCTTACCGCAAAGGATCAACAATTATACTCTATCTTAATTTCTTTTCTCATCATTCAATACATCTTTGAAAGGTCATTCTTTTAAGCCCATTTTATAGTGTTAGTATGAAAACAATGGGCTTCTGAGGTCTAGTAGGCCGTAAATAAATTCCCAAGTAGAACGTCTGACCAAATAAACGATGGGCTTATATCTCTTTACCGTCACTAGAAATAATTCTATATGCACAACTGCCCTTTCCTCATCTACCCCTTCTGTCTCTTTCATCACATATTCGTGTCGTCCAGTCACTGCCAGCAGTGACTTCACCAAAATGCCATTGATCAACCAAATTCTTGCTTCTTGCCACTAATCTTCATTAGATACTCGGCATTGGTGTGATCTATTCCCTGGTATCTTCAATCTTGGATCTGTGCCTTCTCTCTTTTACTCTACACTCTAGATTATTTCCTCAAATATATCTACATTTCTATTTTAGCTCAGTATATAGATCTGTTATTTTGGAGTGCCTTTTATGGAATATCCTCAAATACTTCCTGAAATGTCATTATTTTTTTCCTTTGTGAATTAGAAATTTTATTTGAAGGTAAAACGTTTCCTTTTAGCTGTGTGTGGTTGATTTAGGCTGAAAATGGCAGATCAAAGCACGTATGAGAACTTGCTTAGTATATTGATGATTATTAAAAATTCAGTCAGTGGCTAATTTCATTTTCTCTCAGATGCAGGCTTAGATTTCATTTATTTTCCGATACATGTAATTTGTTATCTTACTCTAAACTTTTGGAGAATTCTTTGATCTTGTGATTGCTTATTTTACTAAAAAAGGTTCATTTTATTCAGTTGATATGAAACATGTGCTTACCTCACAGATTACTCCTTTCTCTTTCTGTCCAGCATTATTGGCCGAAGTCAAAGAAATCAGTGAAACGAAGTGCAAAGAGGACGATGTGCTTCTTTCCATGGCTACTGGGAATAGACAGCCAGTAATTCCTCATTTGGAATTCGCGTTTCCTGATCCCGACATCCATGAGGACCTTTATCAGCTCATAAAGTTTTCTTGCGAAGAATTTTGCACTGCTGAACAGGTTGATAAAGTTATGAAGGTTTGGACTACTTTTCTGGAACCAATGTTTGGAGTTCCAAGTCGTCCTCAAGGCGCCGAGGATGGAGAATACATTGAAAAGGAATGCGATCAAGTTGTTGAAAGTATCGCTTTTGCTGTTGGAGAAACAGAAGGGAGTCCTAGCACAGCGATTACTTCCAGACAATCAAACACTTCCAAAAATCGCGTTGAAGAACCTCTACCTGAAAACTCAAGTTCATCCCGAGCTTGCTTGGCTGATAATGGTGATTTAGTCAAAGATAATGGTTCTCATGGTCTAAATAGTTCTGCAGGTAACCTTGGCAAGTCACCAAGCCGCCCAAGCGGTGCCAACATGATTGATGCAACTTTGGCTGAGCAGTTAGCCCATTTAAGTGCCATTTCTGGGAAGGAAACCACTGGGCGAATTGGTAGAGAAAATACTTCTGCTTTGCCAAATCTTCCTAGTTTGACCAGTAATCCCATTTTCCAGTTTTTCTTTGTCAATATTGCTTGGCCGTTTCTTGTTCATCTTTTTTCTTTTATTCAAATACTTCTTTTCGTGTTGATAGGGCTTTGTGTCACTGCAGTCCCTTCCAGAACAAGTGATTTGGCTGTTGATAGTGGAAAGGTATTGTAGATTTGTCGTAGTGTTCATCCTCTTTCACCGTGTCTTGTTCTAAATTCTTTGTCCTTGCTCGTGCAACAGGAGGTTAGCTTCACGAAAGCAGTGCAAGATGGCAATGAAGCTAAAAAATCTCACGAACATTCTGTAGAAAAATTAAAAATCGAGAGAGAGGAGGGCGAATTATCTCCGAATGATGATTTCGAGGACAATTTCGGAGCAAGTAACGAGTCTGAAGTCGAGACGGCAAATACTACAAAGGATACAACCGCTAACAAACAGTTCCAAACTGGAGATAGAGAAGAAACTGGAAATGATGCCGATGCAGATGATGAAGGCGATGAGAGCGCTCAAAGGACGTCGGAGGACACTGGAAATGCGTCCGAACACGGGGACGTTTCGGGAAGCGAGTCTGCCGATGGAGAAGGCTCTCATGATGAACCTGATGAAGACGGGGACCATGACGAGAATGAAAACAAGGCCGAGAGTGAAGGGGAAGTCGAAGGAATGGATGATGTTCATGATACCGAAGGAGATGGCGTTCCGTTGCCATTGTCGGTCCGTGGTATACAGACCGCTAAGCCTCTCACCATGCTAGTTCCCCCGCCATTGCATGATAAGGATGGCCTGAGAATCTTTTACGGAAATGATTCCTTCTATGTGCTCTTCAGACTTCACCAGGTAACAAGATTTTAGATCGCTCGAGATGTCCTAATGATGGTATTGCAAAAGCCAAAAATTATTAACCCCGATCCCTCTCTAATTTAACAGACATTGTATGAGAGAATGCACAAGGCGAAGTTGCATTCTTCGTCGGTTGAGAACAGATGGAGAGCCTCAAACGATGCAAACCCCACTGATATATATGCTAGGTCGGTGAGATATATATAGCTTTTTGTTTATCATCATTATTATTTTTCTTTTATATCGACTGTTTATAATCGTGATTCGTGACACCCTTCTTTGCAGATTTATGACTGCACTTCGCAATCTGCTCGATGGTTCCTCTGACAATGCAAAGTTTGAGGACGACTGCCGAGCGATTATTGGAGCCCAGTCCTATCTTCTCTTCACATTAGATAAGCTGATATATAAGTTGGTCAAGCAGGTGAATGCTTGATCTCTTGATCTCGTATTTTCCTTAAATTACATTTAAAGCTTTCCTTAAACTTCTGTCGTTTTATTATATGTAGCTCCAAACAATTGCGACTGATGAGATGGAGAACAAACTTCTTCAGTTATATATGTATGAGAAGTCGAGAAAGTCTGGCGTGTCTTTCGATGTCGTTTATCATGAAAACGTGCGCGTTTTTCTTCATGATGAGAACATTTATAGGATACAATGTGTAAGTTTCCGTTGCTTTCACTCTTGCTTAACATCTGAACTATAAAAGGAAAATGGATTTCGTTCCCGATTTTTAATGACGTAATTGTGGTGCAGTCGTCATCGCCGGCGCAGTTGTCCATCCAGCTCATGGATTACGGGTATGATAAGCCTGAAGCAACTGGCGTTGTTATGGACCCGAACTTTGCTGCTTATTTGAGCAACGATCTACTCTTGTGTGCTCCCGAGCAAAAGGGAATCCCTGGGGTGTTCTTGAAGAGGTATGTGATGAAGATATTTCTTGAAAGAGTTGATTCTGGATTTAGTCTTATGGCCATCACTCATTTCCAATTTTAGTCCTTGATTTTTAAAGCTACCAAATTCACTCATTTCCAATTTTAATCCACCGTATATTGGGCTCTGTTGCAAAAATCGCGCCTAGGCCGCTCCCGGCCGCGTCGAGGAACGCCGGAATCAGCCTCCTCCGCGGCTGGCGGTTTAGGTGGCTGCCTAGCCGGCAGAACCCTGATTTTCTTTCTTTATTTTTTTTTAAAGGTTATTCGCCAAAACGACGTCGTTTTGGCGAATAACTCCCTAAAAAAAATCGGGCGCCTAGGCAGCCGCCTAGACCGCCAGCCGCAGAGGAGGCTGATCCCGGCGTTCCTCGACGCGGCCGGGCGCTGCCTAGGCGCGATTTTTGCAACAGAGCCCAATATACGGTGGATTAAAATTGGAAATGAGTGAATTTGGTAGCCAGAACCCCGATTTTCTTTATTTTTTTTTAAAGGTTATTCGCCAAAACGACGTCGTTTCGGCGAATAACTCCCTAAAAAAATCGGGTGCCTAGGCAACCGCATAGACTGCCAGCCACAGAGGAGGCTGATTCCGGCGTTCCTCGACGCGACCGGGCGCTGTCTATGCGCGATTTTTGCAACAGAGCCCAATATACGGTGGATTAAAATTGGAAATGAGTGAATTTGGTAGCCAGAACCCCGATTTTCTTTCTTTATTATTATTTTTTTTTTTAAGGTTATTCGCCAAAAAACGTCGTTTTGGCCAATAACTCCCTAAAAAAAAATTGGGCACCTAGGCAGCCGCCTAGACCGCCAGCCGCAGAGGAGGCTGATTCCGGCGTTCCTCGACGCGGCCGGGCGCTGCCTAGGTGCGATTTTTGCAACAAAGCCCAATATACGGTGGATTTAAATTGGAAATGAGTGAATTTGGTAGCCAGAACCCCGATTTTCTTTCTTTATTATTTTTTTTAAAGGTTATTCGCCAAAACGACGTCGTCTTGGCGAATAACTCCCTAAAAAAAATCGGGTGCCTAGGCGGCGTGGCGCTAGTTCAACACTGATATTAGGGCTTTGTTTCCTGCGTGTGAGAAACTATTGATGCAATGGTATGCTTTTCAATTTTACCCTCAATGTTAACAGTTCACATAGAGAAAAGCTAAACTGGAAGCGATTCAATATTTGAGGACTAAATTTGGTAGCTTTAAAAGTCGATGGCTAAAATTGAAAACGAGTGATAGTTAAGAGGACTAAATTTTCAATGAACTCTTTTCGAATTTACAAAGCATTATTATCTTATACTAACACTTGCTTACATCTGCAGAAATAAACAAAAATATCCATCCCAGGATGAGACCTCCGCTACACTCGAGGCAATAGCGGGACTCAAAGTTCTGAACGGTCTGGAATGCAAGATAGCTTGCAAGTCACTGAAGGTAAATTGATCGCAAAGCTCTCTATCTCTACATAGTGTGTCAATAATGAAAAACTAAATTATCGCCTTTCTCGCTAATTTGGCTTAATAATTCAAATGCCCAAGGTCTCGTATGTTCTGGACACCGAAGACTCGATGTTCAGGATGAATAAACGGAGGAGAACACTGCACCCGAGTGTCTCGTTCAACAACAGCTCCAATTCTTTCAACGGGTCCCATCGAGCACAGCGCTTCCGTAGATTACTTTTCAGTTGACAAATGTGAGTTTTTCTTTTTATTGACAGCAAGGTGTTAAGGTGGTATAGCATAGAGACTGAAGTGTAACATGACTTCTGACTTATATTATATGTTTTCTTAGTTATTTAATAATTTCTTTTTTTATTTTTTATTTTTGGTTAACTTGGTAGTTTCATCATTCTAATAAGAATGATATATAGGTTCAGATAACAGCAAATGTGTAGTACAATTTTCTCATAACTTATAGCCCTTTTTGCTGTACTTTAAATTACCATAACTGGTTAAATACATGAATTTCCTTTTTACAATTAGGTGTTTATTGTGCACTTTGCTGTACTTATAACTTGATTATGACTATTTTATAATATAATATATATAAAATGTGTGCAATATGTGTGCACGTGTGCAATATGTGTGCACGTGTGCAATACGTGTGCAATATGTGTGCTCGTGTGCATTATGTGTGCAATATGTGTGCTCGTGTGCATTATGTGTGCTCGTGTGCATTATGTGTGCAATATGTGTGCAATATGTGTGCTCGTGTGCTCGTGTGCATTATGTGTGCAATATGTGTGCTCGTGTGCAATATGTGTGCTCGTGTGCATTATGTGTGCAATATGTGTGCTCGTGTGCATTATGTGTGCAATATATGTGCACTTTGCTAAAATTTTTGTTCAAATATAGAATCAGATCAAATGAGAACTAGTCTTGAACTTGTGTAATATTTTTTCAATATTTTAAATTTTGATATATTCGAATACAAATTTAGTTCAGATATCGTGTGTTAACAGTTTATCCGTAATTGGCCCTAAATTAGTTAATTCGAATTAATCGAAATTTTATTATAAATATAATAATATATAATATATAAATTATATAGGTAGTTTCAAATGTATTTCATAACTAATAATAATATGTTAATTTTCAAAAGTCTCTTAACTAATTATTTGTATTGTCTTATTTTTAATTTGATAGCATATGAAAAATATAAATATAAAATAATAAAATCATTAAAAAAATTAAAATTGATAAAAATAAAAATTTGGTTATATTCAAATTAATCCGAAACAATTTCATCCGAATTAAATATATTTGAATTAAATTTAGTTCGAATATCGGATATCAAATCATCCAAAAATTTTGAATATCCTTTTTGAAATAAAATTTAGGTCCGAAATAAAATTTAGATATCATGCAAACCAAACCACCGTTCACCCGTAACCTCAAATATTACCTTAATTTTGTTTTATCGAGACTCTTTGAATTGTTGTTTTATCTGGACTAATGATTGATTTCAAATTTCTCATTTTAAATTGTCAGTCTTGGGTTTCTTGTTTTCTTCATTTGAATATGTATTCAGGGATATGCCTCGGTGTCACATATTTTTGGACTTTTAATTTAATTTACATTTCCGATTTTAACTATTATCTTAAATCCAGCATGACAATAATCTTTCATTATCTTTAATTTTGAATAATTTAAACCAAACAAAATAATATAATAGTCCGTATTACCTACTACCTATCTAACAAAACACTCCGTATTTACCAAGAACCTTGTGGTCTACTAGTATCCGGTTGTTTCCTTATGTGGGGGGTCTAGGATTCGAGCCTAGCTCCCACTTTCGTTAATGTCCACCACTCAATACTTTCAAAATAACAACCTCATAAAGCATGCCTTTTATATTAAATATTAAATATATGATGGCACATTTGGTTCACGGAATAAGCCTTGAATAATATAGTATTCGCATTTTCAGTAATAGGCTTATTTCTTTGTTTGGTAAAATTTTCTATTCTCAGGAACTAATGTTTCGGAGAATGGCACATTCCCCCTAGAGGGAAAATAGCTATTACTTAGACCCCTTAGTATTAATCTATTCCCGAGTCCTTAGTAATAACCTTTTTATTTTATCATTTTGTTTAACCTAAACCTTTTACACTATCTCTTCCTCTTTGTCTTCGCATCTCTTTCGCTATTTGCATCAAATTGAAGCTTCAAACGAAGGTATTCTTCTTAATTTTTTTTATACAAATTAATAAATGGCGGCGGCTCGGTAGAGGTGGGCCCCACCTGAGATGGCTGAACAAATCGTCCGACGCTACTTGGACATTTTGCGTCGCATAAGCTATTCTGCTCCTCCTTCGATTCTACCATTAGAGGCTGGAGGTCGTCCGTTGATGAACATTATTTATTATATTATTTTTAATAAACTTCGTTAGAATTAATAAGATAATATTTAGTTAATTTTATATTTTCTCTTATCTACTATCTACTGTTAAGACAATAATTTGTGGCTAAAATTCATGGAGACATTTTCCTTCATCTCCTCCACGTTGCATTCCACATTGCATGTCTGTCTCCGCATTTGACTCTCCACAATTAACATGCCGTTTTTATCTCTTCATTTGAGTGTATAAATAGCATTAGTATTTTGCTTTGTAAATGCACCTCAATTAAGAATTCTTTCTCCTTTCTTTCTTTGTCCCACACGTAGAGCATATATATATATATATATATTTTCCTTTTATCTCTCTTTGTAGAGATTAATATATATATTTCATATTTTCCATTTTATGTTATATTTATTTGTCATTTATTATATTTTCCTTACTATTTAACTTCTATAATTCTCAATTTTCGATTCTTCGCTTCCGCATTATTCCGCTATATTCCTAACAAGTGGTATCAGAGCCAAGTTTATTTGAGAATTATTTTCAAAGATGTCGACTGTCACTAAGTTCGATATCGAGAAGTTCGACGGGAAAATTAGCTTCTCTATCTGGAAGGTTCAGATGGAAGTCGTTCTAACCCAGAACGGTTTGAAGAAAGCGCTAGCTGGGAAGAAGAAGAAACCGGCTGCAATGACAGATGAAGATTGGGAAGATTTGGATGACAAGGCACGTTCAACCATTCAATTGTGCCTGTCTAAAGAGGTTCTACGTGAAGTGGTAAGTGAGAAGACTACGTCAGATTTATGGTCCGAGCTGGAGTCGCTTTATATGGCCAAGTCTCTGGCGAACAAGCTACGCCTGAAGGAGCGTCTGTACACAATCCGTATGACGGAAGGTACTTCGATTAAATCTCACTTGGATGAATTTAATTCTATTTTATTGGACTTGGAAAATATTGATGTCGTAATTGAAGATGAGGATCGTGCTGTTTTATTGCTTGTCTCTCTCCCTAAATCGTACAAGCATTTCAAAGAAATTATGCTGTATGGTAATAGTAGTGATACCCTTACTTTTGACAATGTTAAGTCAAACCTATTGTCCAAAGAAAAGTTTGACTCTGAAATTAAGTCTGAGGACAAAGGTGAAGGCTTGACTGTAAGGGGTCGTTCACTTGAAACAGAGAGTAGCAATAAAAAATCTAGATCCAAGTCCAAAGGACGTAAGTCCAACAAATCCTGTAAGTACTGCAAGAAGCAGGGTCACGATGTGACTGAATGCTTCAAGTTGAAAAACAAGCAAGAGAGAGAAAAGAAGTCTGCTGAAGCTAGTGTTGTTGAAAGTGATTCAGAAGGCGATGTTATGTTATCTGTTAGCTCCGGTGACAAACGGAGCAAGACTGAGTGGATTTTGGACTCTGGTTGTACGTTCCACATGTGTCCTCACAATGACTGGTTCGTCTCTCTGGAACCAGTTGATGGTGGAGTTGTCTTGATGGGTAATGATACCCAATGCAAGGTTAGTGGAATTGGAAGTGTTCAGATTAAAACTCATGATAATGTTGTCAGGACTCTTACCAATGTTCGGTATATTCCTGATTTGAAACGCAATCTGATATCCTTGGGCACCTTGGAATCTCTGGGGTGCAAGTACATAGCTGAAGGTGGAGTTCTGAAAGTCATAAAAGGCTCTCTTTTTCTCATGAAAGCTTCTCGTTCTGGAAGCTTGTACGTGTTGCATGGCAGTACTGTGACAGGTTCAGTAGCGGTATCCTCATCGATGTCTGATGCGGATCTCACTCAATTATGGCATATGCGTCTGGGGCATATGAGTGAGAAAGGCATGCATCTCCTGAGCAAGAAAGGTCTCCTTGGTGATTCAGGTACGGGTAAATTACAATTTTGTGAGCATTGTGTTTTTGGGAAACAAAAGAGGGTTAGTTTCTCTACTGCTACACACCGTACCAAAGATGTATTGGAATATATACATTCCGATTTATGGGGACCGACGAAATTCCAGTCTATGGGAGGCTGTAGATATTTCATGTCTATTATTGATGACTTTTCCCGTAAGGTTTGGGTCTATTTCTTGAAACACAAAAATCAGGCTTTTCCTATTTTCAAAAAGTGGAAAATACTTGTTGAGACTCAGACAGGGAAAAAGGTCAAGAAGCTCAGGACAGACAATGGCTTGGAATTCTGTGAGTCAGATTTCAATGACTTCTGTGCGGCAAATGGAATCGCCAGGCACAAGACCTTGCCTGGTAAACCCCAGCAAAATGGTGTTGCCGAACGTCTAAACAGGACACTATTGGAAAGAGCTCGTTGTATGCTCTCTAATGCTGGGTTATGGAAACGGCGTGATTTTTGGGCCGAGGCCGTTTCTACTGCTTGCTATTTGGTGAATAGATCTCCACATTCATCCCTTGATTTCAAAATTCCAGAGGAAGTTTGGTCAGGTAATCCTATTGACTACTCTATCTTAAGAGTTTTTGGATGTCCTGCTTATGCTCATTCCAGTACGGGTAAATTAAACCCGAGAGCTGTCAAATGCATTTTCCTTGGTTATGCCTCTGAGTCAAAAGGGTATCGTCTATGGTCTCCTGATTCTCAGAAAATCATTTTGAGTCGAGATATCACTTTTGACGAAAATGCACTACTTTCTTCTGGAAAAGATTCCAGTACAGGTGAGACGCAGAGTACTGGTGATAAGGTGGAGTTTGAGTTCAGGCCAAATGATAGTATTACTACCACTAATGGTAATACTAAAGATGATGCATCTACAAGTACCGCGCCTCTCGTCGAGCCACAGCGAGAGTACTCTATTGCCCAAGATCGGCCTAGGAGGACAATTAAAAAACCTGCTAGGTACGCTAGTGACGATGAAACCCACTTGTTGCCTATGCTCTTT